GATGATGATGTCGAATCAAACGAAATTCTTTTGAAGCAGCATCGAAATGTGCATGCACTTCTTAAAGCTTGCTTCCCACTAGGCGACTAAGTGCGTTCATCTCTTAATCCTTTAAATGAATTAGAGATAACATATAAACTACCGAGGCAGTTCCACTTGCAAAACTTAAACGCTCAACTAGCTGTATGAAGACAAGTCAAAATGAACCGCGAAACTTTGATAAAGAGATTTTGTTGAACTTTTCATGTCTAAGAAGGCTTCAAGTTTTGAAAACAAAATCAAAAATCAAGTTCTGGGTATGTGAAATTTATAGAAAACGACAAGAACTTTGCTTTTTAATACACTTTTCGGCGAACTTTAAAGTGACCGAGAGTATTTTTTCGGTATTTGCGCATGAGTCCAGAGAGATTTAGCCTAGCCAGAGCTAGATATAGCCAGAGTTAGATCTGGTATTACCGGTAATCAAAAAATCCGAAACCACGTTCAGAAAACCAATTAAGGCCAAAGAAAGGCTAGCTCGAAGTTCCTGGCTTCTGGGGAGAGTCACAAAATCGACTTCATAATTTTTCGGCTTCTTTTATGTTTGAACGCTCAGATCAAAATTTTTTGATCTTGGCGTTTAACTTTTCTGAGCGTTTAAGTGTGTTCATCTCCTCCAAGTTAAGCGCCCGGAGCATTCCCACTTGGCGTTAAACTTGAACGCTCAGAGATGAACGCACTTGAATGCACTTAGTCGCCTAGTGGGAACCAATCTTAATGCTTGGGAATTCTTTGAAGGGGAAATGATTCCGTGTGGTGATCATGAAAATGTACTTGTTTTTTAATAAAACATATTTTAACAAATTAATCTGAGAGCACTGTCACGCTGCTGCAGATATCTTTAACACTGTCTGTTTTTTTTGCAAATGTTGAGAGAGCCTTTAGCTGCTTATAACGGGTCGAGACATATCTGCGAAGCGCAATATCGGAAAGCCACCTTTCAGATCTGGCAACAGTCGCAATAAATAGAGAGGTTGTACGGTACCTGATCTCACCATAAGAGAGCTTCAAAAGCTGTTCTCGACGTAGAAAGCTAGGACGTTATTCTGATACTGAGTCAAGTACAGTGCTGTTTGCTTTAATGCTTTTCTATTCTTTAAATTAACATATATTTTTCATTATATCTTTAGTTGGCGAGGGCCTTGCAATATTTGCATTATTGCAATGACATATTTGTATCTTTTATAGTTCCATTGATATTTGACTTTGATATTTGTCACGTATAGATACAAAAAGTTGTAAAATATCAGTCCAGGAAGCGCCAATCGCAATACAATTTTCTAAATGAAGAAATTATTTGGGATTCAGCGGATATTCGCCCCACCACCAGAAATCCCTAGCTACTCTACTTTGCTCCAATAACGCAGAAAAAGGTTTGTGGCTTGCACTGTCCCTGGCGAACTCCAGAGATCGTATAACTAATAAAATCAAAAGATTTCCATCTAACAAAAACTAAAAACAAGGAAATGACAAAGACTGGGAATTGTATAGGGAATATCAAAACAAAGTTAACTCGCGTTAACTCATGTATTGAGGTTGCTTATAACAAAATATCCAAAGAATAGAAATATTTGCCTATGAACAAATAGCTAGCTAGTAAATTAAAACTAATTATTCCAAATATTTAGAAACTAATAAATTGCTTACATCATGCTCATTTTCAAACTATAGATAAAAATATCGAAAAACATTTTAGGCTAAACACTTTTCTTCAATTTGCTCAAAGTTTTAATTTTAGTTTTAAACAGGGCTTTTATCGATAATAGTACTCGTAGTACTGACATGGTTAACCCTATATAAGTATTATCTTATCATTATAAACATAAGTCTCACTCCAAGTTTTCAACCTTGTCTAGCCTAGGATCGATAAAAAGATATCATCTAGATATTCAACGTCTCTCATTCATAAAAAAATCACCTAAAAGTGATATCGTCGTTTCGGTCCTGAAGCCGTCAAATGGTTGAGCTTATAATGTTAATTTATTGAAGTTGAGGCGATATTGTAAATAAAATCTTGTTATATTTCGCAAATTTCGAAGGCCAATCTTGCCTTGAATAATAAATGCAAAGATTGTGCGACTGAAAGTAACAGACAAAGTTTGTTTTCTAGCAGCTGATGTTTATGGTGTACGGGACCACTCAGCAGTACACAGACAAACGCAACGCAGGTTTGTTTTTTCCGTAAACATAAATAGGTGTTACAGTAACATTGAAGTAAACACGCTGCTCGTATTTTGCAGAGTTACAATAATAAAGAATTCGAACCTCTAAGGCGATTATTCTTATAATTATAGAGTTGGGTTTTCTCCATTTCATATAAGGTACGCCACAGCACCGCTTGTCGATATAATACTCTTTAAGCAACAAGCCCGCTCCAGGCGTAGTTTAGACGTGTTGCAGAGAACAGGTCGTTTAGCTGAGTGATCCGATGGAGGAAAGAAAAAAGGGTATCTCTTCCCCCTCCTCCACACACCCCCGCAGCCCTCCTCCACATACCCCGCACCCCTCTTTCTCGGTCAGCCTTTGACTCTCTAGAAACCTAGAAAACCAGGGTAGCCGTCTTTCGACAAGTGCGGTGTTCTGATCATTGTTTTTCTTTGAGTCAAAAATTTTTTGCAAAGCGACGATGGGGCGAGATGTATGATATGAAAACCCAGGAATGTTATGATCCGCTGGCAGCGCATATATTCCATACATTGGGGATTTACCAGGGGGGTATTGGGATGAATACTTGAGTACCAGACTCACTATATATAGAATAATTTAAAGTGAGTCTGGTAGCCAGGGTAGGGGATGAAACATCCCCCCCAATATTATGTTCTTCGATAAATTTAGCTTGCGCGCAGACTCAGAGTCTTCGATTAGATAAGTTAATCTTCGATTAGGTAGACAGTAGTAACAAATGATGCAGAAAAGTTCCTCTATTCATCTTTTTCTCTACTTCATCTTAGAGTTAAACACTTAATCAATCTCAAATGAGAGGTAATCACGTTTGATATGTGATGCGACGCAAACTCATCAAAGGGTTTTTCATTAGCTTAACACTATCAAGTTCCTTATTTTATCTTGATAGTATTGATAAGGAAAAGGTGAAGAAGAAAATTGGATATGAGCAATATAGCAACTTCCTTTTTTTAGCATTTTCTTTTATTTGGTGATGGAACAAAACACTCTCACATTAATTTAAATGTTTTGGCAAAAACGATCTAATAAGCCCTTTCATGAAACAACAATTTTGCGTGGTCCCCAGCTCATGTTTGTGGTTGACTCATTGTGATGGTTGCACATGAAATGAACAAATTTTGCTTTATTTGCTGTTCCAGCTTACGACTATCGTCTTGCATCGGTATTTCAAAGGTACCCGTGCACCATAGTCATACACTGAAAACCTAATTAGCGGACACAGAGCCAACAACAGACACCCCCAGACAGCGTACGGCTTTAACGGAAAAAGAAACAAACAATTTTGCTCTGGATTGTCTTTCCCGAGACCAAAACCTCGTAAAGTTAGAAAATAATATAATGCAGTGATTTACATTTAAAACAGAAAGGTAGACACCCCTAATTTCAGTGGCACGGATAGCATTAAAAGGTCTAGCTGACCTTATTTCCATAATGGTTCCCTTAAAGGTGCTGGTTTTAACAGGAAAAAGAAACGACGGGAAAAACGATGATACAGGAAATTTTCACTGCTGTTAGTTACAAACCGGTCCTTAGTAGAAAAAAAAAAGGCTATCTTCCTTTTTACTATGTTTTGAATGTCTTGCACATCTCAAGAAATGACTTTTATCTATGTGGAACAAATATGAATTAATAATCTTTTAAACTTGCATATACATTTAACTATATCCAAGAAAACTGATGTCTATAAAACAAATAAAAGCAATAAATTGAAACAGTTAGATGGTAACTCACTTGGTTTCAACCCGTTGAGCATCATGTTTGCTGGCAAATGCTGGAGTAATAAAACTTAGGCCAAGACGCGATCACAGTTCTGTCTGGCACAATGGTTGAATAAGAATGGAGAGAAATCCCTCGCAACTTTAAATGGACTGGAATACCGAATTCCAGTGGATTTCGAGGCATGGAAACAGCGTTTCGCGGGCAATATCTTCATTAGATTTGGCAGAATAAGTACAATGGGAAACTCGCCAAGCATTGCAAGAGGCGCTGATTTCACGGAGCCATCAGCGTGATTGAAATTAAAAATTTAAATTTTCTCAATAAAATAGGATAACGTGTAAACAATTGCCAGCTGATATGAAAACCTAATAAGCACTTTTGGGATGACATGCATAAAAATCCATGCGAAACTTTTAAATTTGAAGACTTTTAGGATACCTAGTAAAGGAGGGGGACATGGCCTTCATTTTGCTGAGGAAAAGCGGCTAGGATCTCGCACCCATAAAGTATCAAAGAAGTCAGAAAATTGTAAACAATTGTTACTTTGGCGGCAACTGTTGGTATATTTCATCCTCAGCCATTGAATAATGGCTATGTTTAAAAATCGGATTTTAACTCCTAGCCGTCTCGCAGATACCGAGACCATTTTCCTGCTAAATTCGTTTCATACCCTGGCGTAAAGAATTACCACTTTCAATTGATGGCAGCAAGTTCCATAGGTTTTTGAACACGTGAGAGAAAGATGTCTTACCTGAGAAAAAGCAATGCACTGGATTCAAAAAGAGACAGAAAGAATTAAACTCAAGCATCCTACAAAGATGATACCCACAAGAGTTTATCCTTTTGATAGAGACAGTCTAAGTTTAGAGCGTATCTGAACTCTAAACAGGAACTCGTATGGAAAAATTGCCCATACAGATTTAAGTCGATCTATATAACAAGAAGACGGGGATATTAGAATAGAAAAGAGGTAGATCGTTGGGGGAGAAAGACCCATAGAAAGACTATAAAATTAATAGTCATTGTCATTAAGTGTATATATATAAGGTACTATATAATGACAGGTTTATTGATGTTAGAATCTGACATTTTGACATCACGTTTAAGCAGTCCTAGCAAGTATTTTCATCATAAGAGCAGCGATACATGGGAAAGTTATTGTACAAAGATGTTACGAGAACATACATTCTTTCGGCTTGAATAATAATACAACTCTGTTATCAACAGTCTAAAGTTGTTTTACAATTATACAATAGCATTATTAGCAAAAAATCAAAATGAAGAATATACTAAAAACCGCACGTAAGAACCATTTTTCCAAATAGATCTATAGAATTGAATGACCCATAATCAAAATAAAACATTCGCATTAAATCTAAAGAATCCACCATAATTAACATGAATGAAATTAATTGATTATAAGCTCCAAGAAGAACAAATTCAACTTGAACATAAAAAATTTACATAATCTTACATATCAAACATAAAATTTGAAATAAGTAACGTCAAAATGAACAGCATTATGACAAATTCAATAAACGAAAGATTGTACTAACAATGTCGAGTCTTAGTACAACTGGAAGATTTCACGCTCACAGAATGCAAGATAAATCATTATAGTGAGAAGAGGGGGGTTACGTCAACATCTTATTTACTCATCAACCAAATAATTTAGTTTATATAATGAGACAAAAGACTAACAAAGGTACTTTGGACCACTTTAACAAGCATGTTGACCCTGAGTTCCAGAAAAGGTTCTTATTTGAATAACTCAGAATGGTTTAACTTTCTACTTTTCATCGCCTCCTCTCCGCATCGAGGCTCGCTGTGCAGAGCACAGTTATTACGTTCTGATTAGAGATGTATTCCTATTGGCTATTCCAACTCGATGCTACAAGGAGGCTCGAAGAACTCAAATCGGAGTTCGCCGAGTCTCCTCCAATTAGGATTTCTCAGTGTGGCCATCAATAGTACAAACAATTTACACAGGATTTGAAGTTGCAAAATGCTGTCATTAAAACAACTGTAAAATGCAAATAGACAAAAAATAAAAGGTACTCATTGACTAAGAACATATCTGTGCTAAAATGAAAAAAATGTAGGTTCTTATACGCAGGTTTTTACTATTCATGGCAAATACATTTATAAATAAATCAAATCAATATATATGTGAATTGTTAAATTTAGCCGCAGGTTAAGCTTCCATATGCGCGAGGAAAAAAATAATTACATACCAAAAATGAGCATCTACAATACCAACATTTGTAGCTGTTTTTTGGATCATACATATATATACACATGAAATATTCAAACCGAAGAAGAGGGGCCCCATTGCTTCGAACTTTAAGCAGAGGGGGGGGGGGCAGAAAAGTGAGGATGAGCCTTCTTGCAATGTTTGGATAAGCTATATCAAAATTGAATATATTTCAGTTACTGTGGCCGGGATTATAACTTATTTTTGATGACGTCATCAATAGCCTCACCTAGATAAGCTACCTGCCTCGGGCCTGGAGGAAGCTGTCACATGACTGCACATTATAAAAATCAGTTTATAACCGGCTCCAATTAGAACCACATTTCAATAAGAACAAACAGTTTGCAATGAAAACTCACATGAATTTCGAAGAGAACAGTTAAGGTTTGATCAATAGACTTAAATCGACAGGAAAAGTATTAAGCTAAGAAAGAAATCTGAGAAAAAAACGTGACTCAAAAACCTTTGTACTGGGAATCCAATTTTTCAAATTAATTTATATTCAGTCTCAGAAAGGTTTATAGTGTCTTAAAAAACCTTATGCCCTAGCTACCGAATATTTTGCTTAAGCACGAAATCTTAAAGCCGATAAACTGTGCCTAATTTTTTATAACATTAAGCAGAAAAAGAAGCGCAAACATGACCGCTGGAAGCTCTTAAAAAAATTTACACGATACATAGCATATCAAACCAAAAATTCTAACAAAAAGCAACTAATTTCTTAGATCTATATCACTTTTAAGGGCCAGCTGCAAAGTCAGTATGCTTTCATTAGAGATACAGTCTCAATATACTATTTTTACAGATTCTATAGCTATAGAGAAATCACCTTCATTGAAGTCCGGATTTGGTTTCCCATCATCACACAATTTGCTAACGAGAAATCCAATGGCATCCACAGCTGTCGTGTCAACCTTTCCTTGATCGGCCAACACATGACCAAACATTGTTGGCCAGAATGTAGATATATGCAGAAAAACTGGCACAAATTCAGAAGTTGGAGGCAACATGATCTCAGATTGATAGTTGAAAGCACGCATCTTCTTGACAGAAACAAGCTGGAATTTGAAACGCTGAACCTTCTCAGCTAGATTTTTGGCCACAACCGTAAATCCAGCACAGCTTTTAAGGGCATCCCTGAGCTTTTCCACATTGCTAGGGTGGAACTTGATGCTAGCAAAGCCACCACTACTTTCTGTGGATACAGAGCCACAAAATTCTGCCACATCATCTTTAAGCTTCAGTTCTGAACTGCTCTTTCCCCCCATCACTGTGTCGTTCAGTATTTTGGGTGTAAATGTCATCAATGTTTCGTTCTTTTTCGTGAAGTCAAGCAGAAACTCTTCCTTCTTTTTAACTTCATCTACAGGCGTAGATTCAAGAAGCTTCTTGTGCATTTCGGGCAGTCGAACCTCATCGTAAACATAATCGAGGGCTTTCCTCAAGGCAAATACTTGTGTCCCTCGCTTGTCTTCATCCCCGTCAACTTCTAACGCACTTTTGACCATGGATTTTGACTCGTTGGACAAGGTTGCTACGCCCAGGATGTCTTTTGCTAACTTGTGGTATAAGTCCCGCTGATGCTCTTCACGTTTGTCACCACGCAAAACCATACCCAGGCTTATGGCATTACTGATAGCAAGATGTATTGGATTGAACTTGGCATCTTTTACTCCGCAGTACATATCAACATACTCGTCATACACCACGTCCAAGGCATGACGCAGATTCCAAACTGCATCACTCTGATTTTCGCACTCTGAACTGGTCGTCAATCCATTTTCCAGCTCTTCTACTAGATGCTGGGGCATTCTGGTGAGTTTTTTGTCCCGGAGCGCTATCTTGATGGTATTCTTGTAAAGAGTTGCACACATCTGTAGCTTACCACATTTGAACGCGTTACTTCCTGATGCCATTGTCGATCGAACATTTGTCATCATTTTCAAGACAGCACGGTCTTGTGGGTTAGAATGGAACGACTGCCTATAATAGATTCATAAAAGAATTGAAGACCAAAAAATTTCTACGAACCAAAAAAACCGAACTGAATAACATTAACTCAGTAAAAGTAATTTAATAACTGCTCGAAAATCAATAGATCAAAGATTTAATCAAGCTTGAAACTTTAAAGAGACTTGGTATAGAGTTCTAAAGTGATGACGTCACAAAAATATATTTTTAGAATTTTTAAATTTGGATCCCATAACCTGAAAGAGCATCATGAAATGCCTCTAAATGTGCAAAATAAGGCAAGTGTGTTACGAATTGGCAGAGATATGGTCACATGTTTATTGGTTCTCTCCCCATCAAACCTCTGTATTTTGGTCTCTGTTCATAACTTTATGATCAGAGCCAAAATAACCGTGATTCGCTAGCAAAAATCAAATCTTTCATTTGCCATATCTCAACCGATTTTAGACATATTTGGCCAATTTTGCGTATTTGAAAGTATTTCATTATGATCTTTTACGCTATGTGGTTAAAATTCAAAAATTCTAAAAATAGGTTTTTGATGACGTCACACTTTAGAACTCTATTGTAATAATACTCACGTCATCGCTTAATGTCGTTCATAAAGTTCAACAGAATACTTACCCTGGTTTGTTTGCATATTCGTCTGTAAAGTTGACTAAATTATTTTCTTGCAGCATGATTAGCCTGTTGTAATTGAAAGAATTCAAACTTTAAATACTTGTTCACCGTCAGAAATTTAGTTTTACAACAGGTAAATTTGGTTTGCAATTCATGCACTAAACACAAGCACATTGGATTCATGTCAAACACAAAAGCTATTTTCCAATTCGAGCACTTTTGTGCCTAACCATGTCATAGAAATTTGAAACACTGTGCTTCACAAAAAAAGATGAAATTGTTCTTGTCATTAATAATTTAATGATGATGTGGTGTTTGCCATGACAGTTTGATATCTTTAATGTCCAATCAGAGCATCTACGTTAAACTATGTTTCGCTTGTGATGTGATGTGATGTTATGTAACGATTATTATGTTTTGTTTCTCATCTTATTATATGCTATGCTATGCTATGTTATGCTATGCAATGCTATGCTTTGCTATGCTATGCTATGCTATGCTTTGCTATGCTATGCTATGCTATGCTATGCTATGCTATGCTATGCTATGCTATGCTATGCTATGCTATGCTATGCTATGCTATGCTATGCTATGCTATGCTATGCTATGCTATGCTATGCTATGTTATTTTATGTTATGTTATGTTATGTTATGTTATTTTATGCTATGTTATGTTATGTTATGTTATGTTATGTTATGTTATGTTATGTTATGTTATGTTATGTTATGTTATGTTACGTTATGCTATGTTATGTTATATTAGGTTACGTTTTGCTATGTTATGTTATGCTATGTTATGTCATGTGATGTTATGTCATATTATGTTACGATTGCTATGTTTATTATCTATGTTATGTTATGTAATGTTTTATTATGAAATGCTATGTTATGTAAAACCTTTAATGAATGTGAGGTTATAAGAAACAATTGCAAAACAGAAAAGCACAAAAAGCAGGCAGGTGAGCATGAAGAATCTATCAAGCTGGTAGAAAAACAAAAACTCAAACCAAGTTCAGAACTTCTTGCAAGATCCGCGACTTACTGTTGCTTCGGGGAAGGGATTCTAAAATGAGCCCAAGGAGGATTACGACAAAAAGGTCAACAGTTGTCCAGAAAGTCTCGCTGTACTAGAAGTGTTTTAGTCTCAGAAAAAGAGAAGCTAGGCGTTCAACTTGGGCCTAAGAGTTATTAACAGTTGATTATCTAACCGAAAAAGCACGGAAAACAGAAACAAAACATACCAAAGCCCTTTTTGTCTGACAAACCTATCCTCAAATTTTGCTAAATCAAAGGCTTATTTGATGATTTATTTCAAGGGTGAAAAATTAGTTGTAGCTTAGAGAACTTTAAACTAAAATCGATAAAGGTTATGCTTCTTTTGGAACGACTGGTTGTGATAAAGAAACAGTGTGACAGCTGCAAGGAGGGAGTTATCGAATTGAAAATGAATGACCATTCAATACGCAAGTGTACCTCTACCAAGAAGGCTGTTATCGAATGGAGAATGAACGGCCATTCTAAACGCAAATGTACCTCTACAAGGAAGGTTATTATCGAATAGAGAATGAAAGGCCATTCAATACGCAAGCAAATTCATATCAACGAAGTTTTGATTGGTGCCTACATGATAGAGCATGATATAAAATATATAAGAAAACATACAGAAAATATTCTGTTAACATAAGTTTTATCATTATTTCATATCCTAAATATTTTTTAAGCATTCGTAGAAACAAAGTCCAAAAAGCTCTTACTCGTCCATGACAAGTAGTAACGAAAATTACTGTTTACCGGTCTGTCATAAAGTGCAGGATGCCATATAGGCAGAGCTGTTCATGCTTTTGGTATATAGAGCTGGACGTTTCTAAGCTGCTACTCCGAGTTTTACACTTAATGCGATCATCAGGCAACAATTGAGAAGTTTAATATAAGAAAAGACCAGCTGAATTTAACGTAGAAACGTGATTACCTGGCAATTCAACGACACAGGATTATAGGCCAGAAGCAAGCAGCAATGTCCGAACTGATATCCACAGGAGAATGTATTGAAATGATTGGAATCGAAGCCACACAAAACGTGATAGCTAGATGGTAAGTTATGCAACTGAACCTACAACAGGTGGTACTTTGATTACGATTCACTGCGTGGCTATTGCGATTCACAGGGCAGAAATGATGATTTTGTTTTTGGAAAAAATGGTTTATGGTTTATCTCATCACAGAATCAACAAACACTCACCAGAATACATTAATGAGAAATATGCTTTTAGAAAAGAGATGCGAGATTTGAAAATATAAAAAACACGATAAAATACGAGATTTTAAAGATTTGTTTTACGAAAGATGAAACATCTCCTATATCGCGTTCATACATAAATAATCATCAAAGATTTTAAAAGCTTTTCAGAAGCCATCGGTAATGCAAATGATAAATAACGTAATCAAATTGTTCTAAGTAAGAAACTCCCATTGAAGGGATTTCTTTCAAGCTAGCAAAGAAAACCGTACCAAAATTTAGCTGGCAGGGTACGGACCTGCTTATCAGGGCTCATTAATAATATTTTGTGCCTGTGAGTGCAAAGCCAAGTAAAAATATGCCTGCAAGTAAAATAGGTTGCAATTTATAGTCAAATATTGATAAATCGAGAACTTCCCTGTTACGCTCAGTACTGTTACACCAACTTACGTCAAAAGCAGATGCCATATCAATATCATCATGAACTACATTTTACTACACGTAAAACTGACTAGATGCTACCATCGTTACATTTTGTTCATGCGTTACAAAAAGGGAATGATCCAGTTTCTATCAAAGGGTCGTTTTGGGTTGTCAAGTAGCCTTATCGCTGTTATCGATTTTATCAAATAAAGACATTATCAGCAAAAACGCTGTCCGATATCTTGAACGCTTTACTTTAAATGGAGCAGTTTAGTTTACAACACTTCTTTCAAAGCTTCTGAATTTTAGGACTTTGCTTTCGCTTCGTTGGCAAAAGTTGCAAGAATTTCGACATAACACTGGGTTTTTCTCTTTTCAAAGATATAAAAAATAGCCATGAGAGATCCTATTTCCAATTACTTTCGTTGAAATGTCTTATTATAAAAGGATACATACAATCTTATAAGGATACTTTTTACAATAAGACGTTTATCATGCTTATTTTAATATGAAAATGCTTTAACTCCAAAAATTGAAGAAATAGAGGCTTGTTTGTGTTGTCACAAATTGTCGAAAATTTTTTATGAATTATTTGGAGGTGTACCATGAAATTTTGCTCAAATACGTCAGAAATCGATAGCCACCAGATTCAAAAGCTTGAAGATTTTAACTTAAAGGAGTGTGCTTTTTTCAGCCAACTATGCACGAATGAGTTTTACAAGTCGTAGCAAAATACTCTGAGAAAAAAGCGATACAATGCGATTGGTCTCTTCCACCAAGAGATAAAAAGTGAAAAGAGACAAACAGACAACTTGATTTTGAGAACAAATGGCGTCTTTAGAGTAAGGACCTTCTGTCATTTTGGTAATAAAGACTTGCAACTACTACCTTTTATATTTCATTTGACTGTTCAATTTCCATACCAAGAAAGCTGTTTAAAGAAAGCATGACTGTAACACAATAAAGGTAAATAAAAATCGATTCAGAAATGTGCCTGCAGAAAGTCCTCGCGCACCTGCACAGATTAATGAGGTCTGCTGCTTATACGCATTTTTAAGAACATACTAAGATACTTTACACGATTGCTTACAAACCAAAGTGTTAGAAAGATCCTATTTAGCAAGAAAATAAAAAACAAGAGCGGAACTTACCGTAACGTACGAGCAGAACAAGTTACCAGTCACAGTGATGGCTTCTTTCTGTTATCGATGCAGTTTCAACTAGAAATAGTTACTTTATATTATGTCATGTTATGTTTTGTACATCATGTTATGTTATGTACATCATGTTTTGTTATGCCATCTTATGTTATGTTTTGCTATAATAAATTTTGTTAGTTCATTTTCTTATGTTGTGGTATGTCATCTTGTGTTATGTTATGCTATTTCATATTATGTTCTGTCATTTTAAAAACATAGTTTATAATAACATAACAATGTTATTGTACGCTATGCTTTGCTGTGCTGTTCTGTGTTGTTTCTTTATATTGCTTGTAAACGATTTCATTCATATAAATTGGAAAAGGATTTGTTGTCTTACTTTTTTGTGTTTTTTTTTATCTAAAAATTAGCTCTTCAGCCCTTGGAGATTCAAGAAAAATTTTATATATATATAAAAATACTAAAATAAACAAATAAATTAAGAAACAGGTAATTAGTTCTTAACTTTATTACTCTACGGTAAAATGAATATGTTTGGCCATAGGGGTGTCCGGGACTATTTCTCAATATAAGCCATGTCTAACAAAAATTACTACCTGCATGTAGTCATATAATGGCATTGACTGACAATGGTTCTTAACTCGAAATAATTTATGTATCTCACCTCCGGGCGATACTCTTCTTGATAAAAAATCAAAGTCGACAAACTTTTCAACAATATCTAAAACGTATATTGTAACATATATTCCAATGCTTTGGCTAAATGGTCGAGTAGATTCCTGCAATGAAAAGAAGCAGAAGATCAATCATCTTTGAAGAATTTTTTTTATTGCCAAAGCTAAAGCAAGCGGAAAGAGACGAATGAACTAAATTTCACGCACTATTTAGTGTATAGATCAAGACGGTTCTAAGTTGCTACTAAGAATTTCACAAAATATTGGAACAGAAGCCTGATGATCGCATTAAGCGTGAACCTCAGAGTAGCAAGTTAGAACTGTCTTGTTCTTTACATAAAATGTGAGTGCAGCTCTGTGTCTACAGCATTGACAGACCGGAAAACTGTGATTTTCATAAACTATATTATAAGTACCTTAGTAACTTCATGTGAAGTGATGGTACAATTTCCATAGAACCTTCCAAAATTTATGTTATTGCACAGTTGCTTTGTTCCAGTTGTTTTATTAGATGCATTATTTTATACGAAACAAAGCTTGGGGTTAGTGCTTATATTCTAACTTTCATTAAATGATTCTTAGTGTCCAGCTTTCGTAAGAATATTTCAAATATCAATTGCTAAAGAGAAACTTTTAGAAGCACAATAACGTCAAAGTATACAAGAAATATAAAACCTAATCAGTCGCAAGTAGTTCTTTATTCTAATATATTTGTCCTTTACTTTTTCTATGCCAAATGGGCACAGAATAAGTACATAATCGTCGAAATGAAAAATTTTAATATCATCTTCTTAGGAAGGGTTTGCAAGCAGTTTTTTTCAAAGTCGAGGTTCATCCATAAAATGTCTTTTAATGTTTTAGTTGCCGTACGCGAGAACGGTTTGAAAAAGATCTTCAGCTATTTGAGTTAACTTAGACAGTTTCCTATTAAAGAAAACACGAGCATCAAAGAAATAATGCACAGATGCTGTCCTTTAGCTGCCATCTGCCTACAGGATGATAGTGGGCACGAGCAAACAGACAGATCCACGTATAACTGTTTTGTCAATTATCATGCTGAAATATAGTTCTTAAGTTAAATACGAAAACATTTCCTGCATGCAATTGTGTTACTTAATCTTTGAACTAATTGTTTTTATGAAGGAAAAAGATCAAAGCTTTAACTGATTGATTTCCTAAAAACCTGTGCAATGCTTGATCTTAAAGGTTGTCAAAACAAACTAAACATTTGTTTTTGAATGGATTCCTGTACCTGCAGCAATGCATGCTCCAAGAAAGAGCCCACTAAAATCATATCAAAAAGATTCTTTTACTTTAAGCTAGAAAAACTAGAAAGTGCAAAAGTTTTGGCTCGAAAATGTTTGCCACACACTTAGCATAGTGTTGCAACCAACTGATAACAATTTGCATAGTTTTTACATCAAAATGTTGAAAATGACTGTAAAAAACAAATAAGTTGAATTTCCTTGGTTGACATGCTCCCTAACTTGATAATATATGTGATGCGAGTTATGGACACGAACATGGCTCAAAAGTAAAAGGTGTGAGTCAAGTCATTGTTTTTCAGATGTATATTGCTAAAACAAAATAAAAACAGACATTGATGAGACATCTGTCGAAATGAATTTACAAAAGAAGTATGGATAAGAGTACCTAGAAACAAAACACCAAACTAGAAGGACGTTTTCAGTTCTTATGAAGAAAGCAAATTATAATCGCGTCTTTACATAATCATACTACAGCACTGCATGAAATTGAAAGAAAAGATGAGCTGCCCCACGAAAATGAAGATTGTAGCATGTTGCTTGAATCATGTGTATCAATTGAGAAGCTCAACCTTTCTGTTATGAAGCTCAACATTTTCTACAACTAAAAAATTGCACAGTATGGAAACAGTGGCATAGCCGGGGCTGGAAGATTGGAGGGGCAAAGAAGAGATACACAGGAGGGGGTGCAGGGGTTTACCCCCAGGAGAATTTTTGCTGACCACACTCATAAGAATTTGGGAAAATGCCTAATTTTGTAAATGCATTAGAAGCTATGGCTTTTTCTACATGGCAATAGTTGGCTAATCAAACACAATAACTGTCAGTTGTAGCTTTTTGTTGCTGATCACATTATACAATTGTCTATTTCCTTCACAATTCCTCTAATATTCTGAATTGTGTCAGGCGAGGAAGCTCTACGTGTAGAAACTGATTTTCCAAAGTTGCAAGCAAATATAAAAAAATAATAAACAGTGTTCAAAAGTTTTGAACAAAGATCATTTTACTAGAAGCAAAGTCTGCAAAATCCCTGACAAGCATTGATTTCACAATCCAGTTTTTTAAGGATTGAAGCACCTTAGCATTTTAGTTTCTATATATTTCATCGAGAGTGTATAAAGAACATGAAGGACTTTTATATGTAAACCATAATAAGAGGGAAAATTTCAAAACATTCTTTAGTGGTACAGAAGAGACACCGTTTAGTTTAGCTGAAAATACATCTCTGTACCAATTTTATTGCAGATTTGCATTTTTCTCAGACACCAGTCTTCTAAGCAAATGGGGGCAGCTGCGCCCTTGCTACTCTACTTCATGGAAAGTTAATCTTGTTCTGCAAAATGTTCAAAGTCTAAAAGACAAGTTTAGTGGATAAGAAGTACATGAGGCACCAAATAAAGTCTCAGCCAAAGCTACAGCGATGGAAAAAAGACTAATATCTACTGTCAGAGGAACACATCGACAGACACAAAAACTGTTATGAGATTGATAAAAGAGCAAGAAAATATTGGCATTAAACCTTACAGTACAACAAAAGAACTGGCAAAATGCATGCACTATCCTCAGCACCAAAGATGGCCCAAGTGAAAGCAACACACACCATTTCACTGCAGTTTTCAAACTTAAAGGTTCATATCAACATATCCCATTCAGGGTCCAGTTGTCACATAGAGAAAGCAAACGATGCAAAGATTTGTTGGCATAGGGAAGCTGTGAAGTTCAAACGAGCAAAGGAAACTAGGCTGGTACTAAGACCTACCTGGAGGATGCTTTACAGAAAGGGAAGAACAAGCAGTCACTTAATTACCAAGCAGTCTAGAAATGAAGTAAATGTAAAAGCTTCCAACCCTCCTCCAGCCATCAATCATGAAGGAAATGCGGCAGTGTGGCAACACCTCTGTCACCAATTTGTAGGGTGTGCTATATAGAGGATGAGATGCCAGTAACAACAGAAGTTTATTCCTTTTGGGTTACTATTCTAGATCAGCATTCACTAGACCAGCGTTACAACAGATTGATTTTTATTTTTATTCCAATCAACACCATAAGAAAACATTGTCTAGAATGAATTACGATAATTGCACAAGTCAACATAAGGAACAACGTAAAAGACATTTTCAGAAAATTCTTAAGGTATTTCAACTTGGATTGAAACTAGAGGATGGGGGGAGGGGCAATTTTTTTAAGTTGATCTATTTGTTACCTGCATCTTTTCTTATCTGTTTTACTGTATCAATTCATTGTGATATATTTCAAATTGTATGTAGAGAATCTAAATTATCATATGAACTGAACTGACACTAAACTGAGTTCTAGGAGCAAATTATTTGCTGAATGATATTTAACTAGGCCAACTCATTGTCAATCAACAACACAAGGGTAAAGACATCACAAACAGGGACATCGCAACTGGAGTGCACCAAGGACATGTGTCCCCAACTTTTGGAAAATGTCCTTTTCTACCTCTTTGAAAACTGCCCCTTTACTGTAACAAGGTGAACCATCTTATCTGTGACTCACCAACTTTGAAATGCTTTAGAGAATCACAAAGCTAAGCACATATGAAGTTGAATTGCCAATAAACCTAATACATGAAAAAGCACCAAAACTAGCTTATGATACCAGCCTTTTTTGAAGGCCTTTTAAAATTAGACAGAGCAATTACAATGCATCAGAAAAAATATTCAAGAAGTTGCAAGCCAAATCTCCAAAATTTAAAAAAAATGAGAATCCAAGCTTCATGAGGAGGACCTTAAAGAGGGGGAGGGGAAAGGGAGGTAGTAAATTACCCTAGGGGCCTCAAGGTCTAGGGGGCCTCATAAAGTAATAGATTCCATTAATAGAATAGAATTAAGCAAACATAACAAATGTATGCCTAAAAAAGTTTTGAATGATTGCAGAAAATATTCTAAAATGTATTTTGAGGCAATCTAGAGGGCATGTTCACAAAATTTTGCTTTGCTCGCAGGGGCCCCTGTCTTTGGGTTTGCCCCAGGACCTCTCAGCAGCACTGTTATGGGGGGGCATTTTTTATTAAAGATTCAACGTTAACCACAATTTCCAATGACGGCTCTTGTGCTTCTATTATTCTGTTTTGCTAAAAAATAATAGATGATTACAAAACAAATGTTAGAATTAACGAAAGATCAGGCATTATAACGTTGACAATTTCCGTAAACTTCCGCTGACAAATTATTGTAGGCCTCCCACTGCTAATTACTGTAACCTATTGCTATTGTGACATGCTTTTACTCTCTCGCAAAGTTAAAGTTCAAATAAAATAAAAGAATGGAATAATTTCTTTTTCACGATGCCAAGAGCAGATAGAAGGGTAACCTTACGGCGCAAATATGCGCCGATCTAGTCACTGAAGATGCCTTTTCTAAATTTCTACCCCCCCCCCTCCCCCCTTGTCCTTTATTGGCTCCGGTGTCCCTGGTCATATTACACATAGGCCTATTATTTAATCAAAATACAAAAATATGTATTACCTCGAGTAAGCCTAACCGAGCTCACACATTCAGCTACCTCCCATATATTTGCTGAACGATATGTGATTTTCTTCTTTTATGCATATTCTAGGCCCTCCAGGATGATATTTGGTCAACCTATGTTTTCAACACAAAAGCAGCAATAATAAGAAAGGCAATTTACAGATAACGATCCGCGAGGCATGCGCAAAACGAAGAGTTTTTAAGTGATGACGTCACGGTATTATAGATGAATTATAAATCTTTTGCTAACTGCATAAAAAACCCTAATTATACATTATGTATTATTTAATTATGTTATTTGTCTACACATTTCGATACTGCTCATTTTGTAGGCAAAATATTTTCCAAAAGTGGAAACGTCATAAAAATATATAGTGATTCAATTTAGGCCATTGAATCATTCCATACAATCAATCTTTGCTTTTTCTACAAAACTACGCAATTCTACATTCATCACTCTCTATGCTAATTACACCTTATTTCAACCTAATCCATCACAACATTGTTAGCCATCAAGTACCTCCTTTCCTTTGTTTATCGCTTAATTAAATTTGCTAGTTTTCTATATCAATACACACTTTTGTAAATGATAGTCAGTCAGTAGAAATCACTATGGTATAAATCATGTTACACACTGCACAAACAGTTTGCATATCTTGGCTCCGTGTCCTCTGCACGTTAAGGTTACGGTAAACGTTTTGAACACGAAAATTGGTTTTTTCTTCCTAAAGGCCAAACGGCTCAAGGAATCTGGATAAACTATATATCATTCGATGCACAAGATTATGGCGTATCTAGCCAGATAAAAAGTATTGACAAATAATGTTAAATGTTATTTTCCATGCGAATTTACTGGTCAAAAAGTGTACCACCTTCAAAAGCTATTATGTACCCTTGCGTTTGAGGTAACAAAATCTGACTTAGACCAGCAGGAAGTGCAGGTCCTAAGCTACCAAAGTGTGTCTCAGATTTTTTAAATTCCTCCTCTTCTTGAAACTATACCCTGTCAAAAATTGGCAAATAATTGTTCCACCCTCCCGCAGCTGTATTTGGGTATAAAAGACGGACCAGAGACACACTTTGTTTGCCCAACGTCTGCCCTGGCCGTGTGCAAATTTTCGAGCCATTCGATTGGTTCCTTGGGTACATAATAGCTTTTTCGTACCTGCATGTAGAGGAATTTCGAGTCCGGAGAAAACGGGATTTTACTGATCGCACTTGCAAGATACACTCGTAAACCACAGTGTAATCCGGGTCAAGTCACTTGAAGATTTAGATAAACACGCCTGTTTAAATAAACACGGCCGTACATTGGGTATATGGATGTGCCATGCGATATTGTAAATGAGACATGCGACTACAACCGCAAAGCAACGATAATCGGCTTAAAAGGTCAAGAGATTTTCAGGCCTCAACTAAAAGTTTTGATAAAGAAATTATGGAAACTTCGTTTACATGGGATTTTTTCCACTTTCAAAATTTCTGTTTGTTTCAAATTTGGTGTCATTGTGTGCCTTGAAAGTTCGGCTACTTGAATGTGAAAAAATCGAAAAAATGATGTTTTCATCCAGCAAACGTTTACCGTAACCTTAAATAAGACCGCTCTGGTTGGAAACAGCACATTTCTCGTTTAATGTATACTTTAGTCAATCATTGCTCGATGTTCCAATGAACTCTAAAAACATACTTTTAGAATTTTTCGATAGCATTGTTTTTTCTTAGGAAATCGTATGCATCAGCAATTTTCTGATGAATTAATTTTCATATTACATTTAGACGGTTTGTTGTTTTTCTAAAATCGGCTCTTATGTAATATCGGACATCCATAGGTAACGACGAACAGACAGCTAAACACAACACATAACAGTTTTGGCAATCTAGATAAGAATATGAAGGAAGGCCAGGGATAATGCGAGAGTTTGATTCTAGAATGGGAAATTGCTACACAATCCCGGACAATAGGGTGGGAAATGGTTAACCCAAATTTATTTGTACACCTAATTCTTGCGATTATAATTTTCCTTTTTACAATCTCGATGATTTTGCAGCCATGGGGCATTGAGACTAAAGCCTGTGAGGGGTATTTCACTCTTGCAAATAGCGTACGAGATTTTCCCTGAAAGAAAAGGATTTCCGCGGATTTTCGGATAAAACAATAGAATTTTCACAAAAGGTGTACGAAATTTTCTTGGAGTGATTTGCCCCTCGAAAGCCTGAAATACACGATCAGTTTTCATCAGTTTTTAACCGACAGTTTTCAGTCAAAAACTGATCGTGTATTTAGCAAAAACTGACAAAAACTGATGCATTATTGACCGTCAGTTTTTGACTGAGGACGTTGAAAGCCTAACTTGAAAATTCTTACCCCTTCCCTAATACATTTACTAATCAATCCCATCATCAAACCACCGTGCCCTCCCATTTCCCTTTTTCTTATTTTCTTTTCTTTTTTCCCCTTCTTTTTGTTCTGCTACCGTTTAAAAAAATTGAAATCAAACTTTGCGAAATTTAGCTCGTAGTCTTGGTATTTTCCATTTACAAGTATATATCACAGTTTATTTTTGTATTAACTATTCAATAAAAATGACATGTGGCCAGAAAGCCTCTGGGTTTGTCTCAATGTCCTTGGCAAAATTTAATGGAAATTTTAACCCTACAGTAAACTTTATCGTTGTTAGCTATCATTCATATACCTTTAAAAACTGTTATTGAAATTTGGTTTTTGAATAAAAAGGATTTGATTTGATTTAATTTGATTTTAGATATCAAGGTTTAGCACCGCGAGGGAGCGTGCGACCCGTGAAGGTTGTGTTGTTGCGGTTAGCCTCTATCGAAAACAGATGGTTCTCATTGGCTGCTTTATATTTTGCTGACATTTGAATTTTAAACCGTTGTTGCTAAAGTTCAAGCGGGAAACTGTGAAGTTAAACGTGTTTTAATATTCCTGCAAAAACTGGCGCAAAATTGTCTCGATCATCAATTGCAAGATGGTTAAGGGTAACGGGAAAGCTGACAAGAATCAAAATATACAAGTGGCAGTTAGATGCAGGTACTTTTCTTTTTCAAATAACTTTAGCAACTAAAGATGTTTAGGCCCGTCTCTCTTCCAGCATATTTTTTCAGCATATAGATTCGATTTCAAAAATAATACTCGGTTAATAAACTAAGTCTTCTTTAGAGACAACAACTATTGCAATGTTATCTTGTATAATTTTCATTTTAGGCCAAGAAACCAGTCTGAAGTTAAAGCTAGCTCCCCGTCTGTTGTTGACTGCTTTCCAGACCAGAGAGAAATTCATGTAAAGCAGGACCTCTCCTATCTGGATAGAGGAAACAAAAAGACATTTGTCTTCGACAAAGTTTTTGGGCCAGATTCAAAGCAGATAGATGTATACAATCACGTTGTGAGTCCAGCAATAGAAGAAGTACTTATGGGATACAATTGCACCATTTTTGCGTGAGTGAAAAACAATTTTGTGATGCAAGCGGTCTTATTTAGGTCTACAGATTCGATGTAGCCACGCGAATGACTTCTATTTCAACAGTTTTTTGTGGTGCATCTATTTTTGCAGAAAATACCCTTTTTTATATACAAATCATAAACTAGAGCTTTACTTAAATTAAGGCGAATAAGAGCCCCCAAAACTCTGATGACCCCCAATAAAGGTTTAATCGAAATCAATAAAATAATTTCCTGTTTTTTTCTCAGACAATTGAAGCTGTTTAAACACATCTAGAATATGTAGAGAAAATTAGTCTTGCTTGGTAATATTTTTGGCTGATCAGCACTGCCTAATAAGACAGCTCCTCCCATGAATAATTCTCTCTAAAATAAGCCACCCCCCCCCCTAAAATATTATTTTGCAAAATAGGAGGTCATATCAGGATTTATCGAAAAAGCCCATATGGTCAATTAGTAATTCCAAGTTTTTAGACTTAGATATATAACATTTTATATAACATATAACGTTTTATATAACGGAATTAGATATATATATAACATTTAAAAGAAGTTGAGACTGAATTTGGCTACAGTTTTTTCAGTTTCATTATTCTTTTATTCAGTTATGGACAAACAGGTACAGGAAAAACGTTCACCATGGAGGGAGAAAGAACACCAGGAGACAAATACAGCTGGCAAGATGTAAGATTTAACATTCTAGTGGAACTGGTTTCTTTTATAAATTCTTTCCAGCTTAAACTTATAGAAAAGTCACAATATATTAAAGCAACATTGATAATTTTGTCCCTGTTTTCAAGCAATTGAGTTTTTATAGTGGTGACTGAAAAGATGCGTTTTACAACTCCATAAATGCTCAAAAATGTTTTGTTGTATATAAAACACAAAAACTTATGTCTTATGTTGTTTGTGAATAAGTGGATTTAAATGTGAATATTCAGTCATGTTTCCTGCTTGTTTTTGTAAATCCTCCAGTTTTCAACAAGTTTGTGGTCTAGAATTTCTTGCCCATTCTTCATTGTTTGGCATTATAAAGTTTCTCTCTTTTTAGGATCCATTAGCAGGGATCATTCCAAGAGCCATGCACCATCTCTTTGAGAAATTACCACAACAAGAGGTAATAAAAGTACACATCTTAGGAAAATCTCTTTTTTAATGAATATAACATTCAGGTATTACATTTTTCTTTTGATGTCTTACTTTTAATTTATATTGGTTGCCTAATGTCCTAGTCAAAAAATTCAATATCAGATTGTGCAGCATTCACCCACCACATTAAATTATTTTGTCAAGTGGTGTTTGGAGTTTAGCACCATAAAACAGGATGTTTAAAAACAATGGAGAAGTTTAGCAAACCCTTAAAGAGTTTTGTAACTACCAAAAAGTACTTAGCGTGGACTTAACATCACTGAGAACTTTCAGTGAGGTTGAAAAAGTGACCAAACCAATCAAATAATACTCTGTGCAAAAATGTAGAATGCTGCTCAATAAAAACTTAAATTGTTTGACAAAGTTAATAGGTAATAGATTTCAACACACTGTTTCAAGTCCTTTTTCAAGGATTGAATCAATGATGAACAAGACAAGTAGAAGCAGTCCCTCCCTACAAAGAAATCATTTTGAGTTAGTGAAACATTGAGCAATGCTTATTTTTTATTCTTGTTGTAGTTCTGTTTTTGTTCCTTTGAACATATTACACTGTTGTGAGTCAATGTTAATCTTATCACTTGATAAGATATTTTATCTTTAGCAGAAACTGAATCAAGAAATTAGAACATAATTTATTGTTTTTTCTCTTCCAGGACTGTGCAGAGTTTTCAGCAAGAGTTTCATTTCTTGAAATCTATAATGAAGAGTTATTTGATTTACTGGGGACAAGCAGTCTAGATAGCCAGAGACTTCGAATATTTGAAGATTCATCTAAGAAGGTATTTTTATGATGAAGGCTTACACATTTTGCACAACAAAGCCTTCAGGGTCATTCCATGTCAAAGGGGGACAAAATTTTCAAAGTTGACACCCATGGTCACAGATTTTTTTCATTTTTGGTAGGAACAAACAACACCATGAGATAGACCACATTTGAAAATTTCAGTCTAATATCTCATTTGGTTTGTGAAATATAGGAATTTGAAATTCGGTATTTTTTGGCTTTAGTTTCTTGAATCCGCCATTTTGATTTTTTCCATAACTATAACATTTCTTAAAGTTCACGACAGACCATGATTTTGCATACAAAAATACCATACCTGGTCAATTAAACACCACTGAATCCAAAAATGGCCTTAAAACTAAACTAAGACTGAAGAAACTCATTCTATTTATAGAAACAGAATGGAAGAAAGTTGCCATGGCAACAAGTGTTCCATTTTTTGGCTCAAAATTAATCATGTTGGCGAAATATTTCAAAGTTGAATTTTTATATGTTTATTATATACATAAATGTCTAACATATAGCAGAAAATCAGCAATGTTATTTTTGTTGTTCTCAAATTAATGGCATTTTAATTATCCTAAGTTTTACCTGTTCGGAAAAGGGTACATTTCAGAATCAAAACCAGTAACAATATTCTGGTTGAGCAATCTTCACTTATCTATGCAATAATGGGATTAAATGACTTCCAGAAATTACTTTGAAAACAATTTCAAGCCAAATTCAAATCATCTAAACATTCATAATTGTGGGATTTTCACCAAGAAATTCAGAGAGCGTTTTAATTTTTAAGATTTCAATCTGCAGTTTGCAAGTAAGGTATTAAAGATTAAGAACTGTTATATTTTGTTCTTTCGTTGATTTTTGCAATGTCATCAGGATTCAGAGAATATTGCCTTCCAGTGACTGTTGTTGGTGCAGGTGCTTCTACAATCGCCAAGACATTCTGATTCGGTACCCAACAAACATCGTCTTTCACTGGCCATGAAAACGAAGCAGTAGGAAAATGCGGGTGCATAAACTTAATATGAATGTCACCATTTTCTTTGTCCAGCTCCAAAGCAATTCCTAGCCATTCAAAACCATCATATTTACACACAACAAAATTATTTGGGCATATTTCCAAGCATGGAACATTTGGCTCATCATCATCTATAAAATTATATTCTAGAACAAATTCTCTGTCTTCTGAAATTCTTTTTGCTCCAATCTTACGGTTTGTTATTGGGATAAATTGGTGGTAGGACCTCGTTCCAGGAATTGTCTTGGCCAATTCCAGCCTACTTTTCAATTTTTCTCGCATTTCATTGACATCGTCTTTCCTGATAAGCTTGAAATCTATCCCTTTGATTTCCTGTTGGCAGAAAGCAAACATATCATCAGCAGTCAAAATTTGTTCTTGAGATGGACGTTGTAGGCTTGCTCTGGCAGTTAGCCGTTTAACTGTTCCACCAATACCATCGCATGGTGATTTGCCATGGCTTGTTGCAAAAAAGTTCCATTGGCCTTGCATCCCAAAATCTTGCTGATGGTGACACAGATTCCAAAAATTTTTGCAATTCTTGTACTGAGCTGTACAACCATCAGTGAAATAATGAACTAGTTTGATGTCACTCGAAATTGTTTCCTTTATGCAGTTGATGGTCTCTGTGATTACTGCATAGACCATATTGACATCATGTTCCAAATCATCAGAAATAATGCAGAGTGATTTCGATGATACCTCAGCTGATTCGTTACATTTATAGTATATGACGATTGGATGCAACGTACACTGTCTCTGGTTCCAATGGTAGCTTTGGATCTCGTCTTGTATTAGGAACTTGTAATTTTCTGCGAAGTCGCCAAGAACGATAACTTCTTCCTTGCCAATAGCACTTTTAAGTCCTTTTAAGTAGATTGCTTGAGACTTTGCAATGTACGAGTGTACAGTCAATCTATCTAGCTTGTCACACATTTCATCTATAAACTCTTCCAAGGTAGCAGTTTGTGATATCAGTTCTGATCGGTCAGTAGTTGTCCATTGCTTGTAAGTGATCATTTCTTTAAGCTCTTCATCATCGTCTGAGTCATCATCATTTTCACTTTCATTCTGCTCTTTGTTTCCAGTGAATATGCCAGTTAAATAAAAATGAAGACTTTCAATACCAGGGCATTTCCTACATCGATGTACCATACATTCCTTTGAATGTGCATCACAAACTATCATGTCCACAAGTTCTTTATAATGGCTATCCAAATTTGCAGCATCGAGCATCAATTTAGTGTTTTGATGTATTGTACACACACAAACCGAATGGGTTCCCTTTGCGCCAACAGAAATACACCATTTGGGTCTCAGACTTGCAAATTTTGAAAAGCTGACTTTTTTGGATGTGGTGTTGTTTGCTTTGTAGGCAGCATAAAGTTCCTTTAGGTTACAAAGAATTAGACGCTTTGGCATGTGCTGATTCTTTGATACACTTACGAAATCCTTTTTGCCAGGAAGTGTGCGAGAAAATTCATCATCACAGTAAACTTTGATGACAGAATCCATCATTTCTTGCGCTATCTTTTTTCCCTCTATTCTATTTGGCATCGCAATTATCCCCATTTCTTCTTTTAATTTTTTAGCCTTGAGAACAGTTTTTTTTGAGACATTAAACTCTGCTGCTGCTTTTCTTACAGACCACGATTCTGGTATCAATGTTAAAATTTGAATCCTTTCACGCCTATTTGCAGCTGTCAGCTTCATTTTCATTTGATCTACCAATTTATCAAGATCCCTTGCTTTTTCGATGAGATCGGTTCGCAATGGATTCTCAAATCTAGGCACGAGTTGCTCTGATTCCATTTCTAGTACAGAGGCAAATTTTTTTGACAATGCTTCATTAGCTTGCTTAAGCTTCCTCTTGCCATGACTAGCTTTGGAGTGTTGTGCTACAGCATGCAATTTTAATGGTGATACATCCAACTCGTTTAAAGTAGCATTTAAAGCATCTTTATCAGCGCTATATGACAACTCTTCATCTAACATTACAGATAAGCAGCCCTCATTGTCTTCTATATTCTTCCCCAGAGCAGACTGTTCTGCTGATTCTTTCGACCGTATGTAACATGGAGGGCAAATTTTTTGGCCCGGAATTGTTGCACAGCCTTGTTTTGCAAGTTCCTTTGCCAAAGAAATCTTTACTTCTCTCAAGCCACCTGTGCAGGAATAACATAAATTCTTGTTGAAACAGGTATTACTCATAATGAATGCATCTGATAATGATTGTTGTACTTTCTGCTAACCATATGTTATAACTAAGTTGATGACGGCTATTTGAATCATCACACAAAATAGCAAATTTATTCTTATACTGGAATTGCGTTTTTAGAAACACCATTAGAATACAAAATGCCAATTAACAATCAAAAGATAGACCAAATATTTGTAACCACACAATAGTCATTTTAACATTGAAATCACTTTATCCTAAAGACTGATATTTTTTAAAATTTACCTTTAACTCCTTTTCTGTGCGATCTGAAAGGATCACAGCAGATAGTTTGTTGGATAGGAAACCTTTTCAGCAGGATATGCTCATGGTGAAAACAAATATCTGCATCAATGTTTAAAATGGACAATCCAGACCTCCATAAAATAAGTTCTCTCTCTTCAATATTTATTGTATCCAATCTTTTGATACCAGTGCTTCTACAATAAGTCAGTTTATGACAATCATCACCTTGTTTTTCTCTGACAGAGCAGTAATTTTCCCCAAAAGACATCTTGAAATTTCATGCAATAGCAGTTAACGCCAGGCAGAGGTGTTTGACAAACTGAAGCACCCGAGTGTGTTTTTATCTCAAAGGACTCATGATGTCATTAGCTATATTTCTGTTTCTATTCAGATCAATGGGAAAAGCCGATAAAAGAATTTCAATCAAAATATTATACTTACAATCAGCTGTTGATAATCAGATTAGCAAATGTGTGAACTTAAACAACTACTTATCAAGAGGTGTTAACTAAACGCCATTCAATATGCTACTTTCTGGTGTCAAATTGATTTATTCAAAATAACTTTGCATGGGTGGGACAGGAAATTAGAAAATTCTTCAAGCAATTGGAAAGATAAACAAGGAAATCTTGAATAGTTTTTCTTCCTATTACACCATAGGCAATTGACTATGATTGCAGAAAAAGTTTAATTCCTCTAAAACAGTGCCAATTTCCTTAATTGGGCATTCACTTGAATGTGTTTCTTTGTGATTTGCAATGATTTCGTTATGATTTTGCAACAAAACAACACGGCATGATTTTCAATCACATAAAAAGAATATCACAGAGTGTATTTAAGTTTCTATTAACCTATTGGTCATAGATTTCAGGCTGTAATTGATTCTACAAATTCTGTTTGGTACTATAGTCCAAAGATATCATCTTTAACTATCAGAACATTGTATTCCGGGTCCACCCTAATTAACCCTAACATACACCCTAAATAAAATATGTACATTTGTGAATGTTTAGATGTTTTGAATTTGGCTTGAAATTATTTTCAAAGTAATTTCTGGAAGTCATTTAATCCCATTATTGCATAGATAAGTGAAGATTGCTCAACCAGAATATTGTTACTGGTTTTGTTTCTGAAATGTACCCTTTTCCGAACAGGTAAAACTTAGAATAATTAAAATGCCATTAATTTGAGAACAACAAAAATAACATTGCTGATTTTCTGCTATATGTTAGACATTTATGTATATAATAAACATATAAAAATTCAACTTTGAAATATTTCGCCAACATGATTAATTTTGAGCCAGAAAATGGAACACTTGTTGCCATGGCAACTTTCTTCCATTCTGTTTCTATAAATAGAATGAGTTTCTTCAGACTTAGTTTAGTTTTAAGGCCATTTTTGGATTCAGTGGTGTTTAATTGACCAGGTATGGTATTTTTGTATGCAAAATCATGGTCTGTCGTGAACTTTAAGAAATGTTATAGTTATGGAAAAAATCAAAATGGCGGATTCAAGAAACTAAAGCCAAAAAATACCGAATTTCAAATTCCTATATTTCACAAACCAAATGAGATATTAGACTGAAATTTTCAAATGTGGTCTATCTCATGGTGTTGTTTGTTCCTACCAAAAATGAAAAAAATCTGTGTCCATGGGTGTCATTGGTGTCCCCCTTTGACATGGAATGACCCTTCAGCATATATACTTCTATACAAGGCTTCATCCATTTTATGATTTGATATAATTTTGATCCCAAGGCAAATTCATAACAGTAATTTACTGAACAAGTGTAGCTAGTTCATCAACAGGCTTTTAATCTAAAAATTACTTCCTGTCATGGTAACAGGGTCACACAGATTTAGAATAGTTCTTTCACTCAACCAGCTCAACCAGCACAGATTGTTTTTTTGTTTAAAATGCATTTCATGTCATGTGATGAATGCTATGGTTTGAATGTGATGATGATGCATGCAATGGCAAATGCTATAGTTTGAAAATGATTCCCTGGGCAACAAGGCAAAGTTTATGATAAAAAAGTAATTTTTACAAAGTGCAAATTGCTTAGGCATGTTTTAAAGAATGATTGAATTAAATAGGTTGTTTATGTTACATTTTACACAAATGTTTTAGTTTGTAATCCTTACTTTGAAATAACTGAAATATTCTTCTGTTATTTCAGGGTTCTGTTGTGATCCATGGAATTGAGGAGGTGATTGTCCATGACAGAAGTGAAGTTTATGAGATTCTTCAAAGGGGTGCCCAGAAAAGGCAAACAGCTGCCACTCTTTTAAATGCTCATTCAAGGTAAGAGCTTCTCAGTAAACTATTTTAATTAACAAACTAAATGGCATGCAGGCAGATAATTTGTGTATGTATAGACAAGTATCAAGTATATACATAATGCAGGGCTTTCACATTCAGAAACCAACGCACACAGCCAAAAACTCGCGTGATAAGAGTGGGGCGCACAAATCAAATTTATTTGTTAACATAAAGCAGTAAAGTTTTTTTGACTGAATCATTAAACGTGACAAAACTTTTAATAAATGAACTGAATGCTACACATTGTATAATTATGTTAATGTTTCGCTCACAAGTTATTGAGAAGGGTACTGTGTGACTTAGAGAGGTTTCAGTGACTTTAGAAACGTGACAAATTTCAGAAAAAACAGACAAAAATATCGTTAGCAAATAAAACAAAAAGAAGGCCCTATTTAACCAACAAATGGCAATTAATAATGTGTAAGTCCGTTGGAAATCAGGCCCTGTTCCTATTACTCTGCCAGGACATGAAAACCCACCCGACCATGTGACCGGGCGGTCGCAGGAAATTTTTCATGAATACAGTTCTACAGGAATTTTTTAAAATATACACTTTTGCAAGAAGCACCTTTGTTTCTTTCATGTTCATCAAAAGAAAAAATATGAAGACAAAACAAATGTAGCTCCTATTCTCGCAGGAAATTTATGCATGACTTTTGTCTGGTCGCAAGAAGGAAAAATTTGTTTGTGCCCTGTACTCTGCTTTCATAGGAAAACAGAGCTGAATAAATTGTTTTTAAATTTTGGGTTCCCATTGATACGTTCAAAAACGGAGGCATTTGATAATGATGCTTTAAGTTATCGACCGAGGAGTTGTTTGAAAACGAATCATTTAAATGGGAACAGCAAAAAGGAAGTCATTGGAGAACAGAGTCATTTAAAAATGAATTGTTTTAATGAGAAAATAAAAAAACGGAGTCAATTAAAAACGAATTCGTTCATCTTCTGTTTCAAGATGAGCTCAAACCAAGGATATAAAAACAGATAAAATAGAGCAATGGGAAAACCTTCGTATTTGTTTTGCCAATGGGAACAGCTAAAGAATAACCGAAACTGAATTATCAGAAAACGGAGACATACAAAGACGGAGTAGTGAAAACAAGGATTCGGTGTCAAACTTCTGTTTCTAAAAAGAGTTTCTCAAATGGATTGACCTATCAGCATCCGGTAATCGCGCTTCAAGAGAAATATTTAACACTGGGCGCGTGACTAATCGCTCTCAAAGATAACCTCGGGCACGTGCCTGCACGCTATCGCGCGCCCACCATTGAAACCCCTGTGACATATAAAAATTTTGAATATGGAAAAAATATCATGTGACTTGGAGCCAAATAATTTCGAATCTTGCAATCTTCAAATGAGATCTTATTTATTTTCGGGTATAGTAGTATGCCCATACTCCAATTTTTTAAGACTACACATATCCTGTTAATGTCCTAATATATTATAATTTTGGCTGGACATACTTTGTTGTGATGTGCTGTTTGAGATCAAATTTATTTATTCATCTGCTTTTTTTAGTCGATCACACACTTTGTTCTCTGTAACAATTCACATGAAAGAAAACAACATTAATGGAGAAGAATTCTTAAAAACTGGAAAATTGAATTTGGTGTGTACCTCTACTTTATCTTTATAAATTTCTATCAAGTTTGAATATGTTTATCTCAATTGTTGTATCAATGCTTGTTATTCCAAATCAATCTTTTTAACCATACAAAATTGACAGAAATGGTTGCAATATAGAAGTTATCTTCAAATTTCTTCCAAGCTTGTGAAAATGTAGAGTATAATTTTTTTTTTGAAGTGCAAGATAATCCAAGTCGAAACGCTACTGTCAATAAGTTTGTATGATATCAATAACATGCCTTTGCTTTGCTTTTCTCTTAATATGCCTGGCCTTAAAACTTTTATAATGTGGTTTCTCCTTTTTATTCTTTGTATGTTTATCGTTTTTTAACCTTCCTTGTGTTTTGTTAATTTACTTGCTGTTTGTGTGCTGTTTTTTATCTCTATTATATGCAAAAATGTTTGTTGATGTTCAGGTGGACCTGGCTGGCAGTGAAAACATTGGAAGGTCTGGGGCTGTAGACAAAAGAGCAAGAGAAGCAGGCATGAAAGTTTTTGTTTTATTTGCTAATAATTTTTCAGATTTCTTGGTGATGGTATCAACTTGATGATTTTGCATAAGTTGATGCAGATATTACAGCTTTCAATATTTTATCTTGCTAAATATAATATCCTACCAAATCCTTTCTAGTAATCATTCAACTCTTAGTAAAAATATTTTAATTTGGTCAAACAGGGGTTGAACTTGTTGCTTTAAACGTCCAAAGAAAGGTCCATTTCGTTTGCTAAAAAGGTTTTTCATATGACATTTATCGTAAGGAATATTCGATAGTTGTCAAACCGGAACAAAGTTATCTCAAGTGCCTATTGTTCATCTCTTGTTTTACCTTTAGTGAATTTGGAGAATGTCACATATTATACATATAAGGGATGTTTAATGCAGTATATGGTACTATTGATATTTTAAATAATGCCCCGTATCAAGCAGAAATTTTAACCCAAATATAGTTTTTTCTCGTTTAATCATTTCTGTATCCCTTGACTTTGACAATTGTTAACAGTTTTATATATGACTTTTTTTCTGTTCAAAGGAACAATAAATCAGAGTCTTCTCACGCTTGGCCGTGTAATAACTGCCTTGGTTGAACGGGCTCCTCATGTGCCATACAGGGAAAGCAAGTTGACACGAGTATTGCAAGATTCCCTTGGCGGTCGCACCAAAACATCCATTATTGCTACTGTTTCCCCAGCTGCTGTCAACCTTGAGGTACTGTCTTTTTCATTCATACAAATCTTCCCTCTTCATGAAGAAATCCTTAAATTTGTTGAGGTGTATGGCTGTTTCTGGTAAAACTGGAGTATGAATTCTTCCTTTATGTTAAAGAGAGATTCTGATTTTTTAAGAAAAGTGATGTCTTGCCAACTAAAGTGTAAATAATTAATCATCTTCGGCCTTTAATTTGGCGTAAGCATCTTTGGTCTTCTGGCATCTGCAAATAAGGCCTCTACAGTTTTCTGTGATCGACTGTCACATAATACATTATCTCTAATGAGTTTGGTTCTGATAATTCCTTACAAAACCTTTTAAACGGTCTTTACTCATATTTATTGGAGTTTCAGAATTTATTTTGTTGATTGTAGCAGAGTGAAGGTGAAGACTGGGGTAGAATTTAATAGGACAAAGATATATTGTTTTCTGTCGTTGTCTGACTATTAAAGCCTATTTTTTGTAAACACTGTTCAAAATATCCCAAAAAAATAAGCAAAGGCAAACTTTATTTTAAGGAAACTTTGAGCACATTGGATTATGCCTACCGAGCCAAGAACATCCTCAACAAACCAGAAATCAACCAGAAGCTCACAAAGAAGGCACTTATCAAAGTATGTATACACTGCAGTTACTGCTTTATCCAGCCTATGCACAGCAATTACTTATGTTGATGGCCTTCTTATGTCGAGACAAATGTTGTTCTCTTGGTAACTCGGACTTCGTTAAGTTGGACTCATATTCAATTCCTATTTTATTTTTCCTAACTTATTCAAGTCAAAAGCCTTGCTTTAGTCAGATGGTTCCCTTACCTCTCTTGAAGATTAGACTTAACATGATTCAATTTTATGTAAAACAGAAATATTGTTTACGTAGAATTATAAGATGCTTCAAAATGTGTCCATAGGGTTTGTTATATGCCCTTAAAGCTGTTGATATTGTTACCTTCTTGGTACTCAAATCGACTTTCATGTTGCTATTGGAAGCTGTATGTGTTACTCATAAAGGCAATGCTTAGGTATTGTCAAACTGAGTTTTAAAGAATTTGAGCGTTCTCTTAAATCTGGTTGCATTTGATTATTTAAAGGAAAACCTGTACTATATTCTTTAAGATTTTTCTAATTTTGTTAGGGTTTTGCTGTAACAGTCATCTATATGCTATTTCTCATACTTTTGTATGTCATTTGCATTTGAGACGGTTTAAAAAAGTTCAATATTAAAATTGAAAGTGTAGTAGAAATATGGTTATACGACAAGAGGCATCGCAGAAAGGTTTCTAAAATCATCCAGGACATCAAATATATGGCTTAAGAATTAACATCTGACTGTCATGTAATTTTTCTCTTTTTAGGAATATACTGAAGAAATCGAACGGCTGAAACGCGACCTTGTTGCTGCAAGGGATAAGAATGGAATCTTCATCTCTGAGGAAAATTACACGTGAGATTTTGCTTATATTACTATAATTAATCGCATTTTATAAACAAATATAAACTTAAAAGAATTGAACGCACTGTAGCATTTATCACTCTGAGGATTTATCGCTCAACACTTAAGGTTGCTGTTGCTGTCCCTGAGCTACTTTTTTCTAGGTCTATCTTAGCTTGAAGTTTCAAACCGAGGAAAAAAGTCAGACATCTAGATACAACCGCTCATTTTCCTTTTGAATATTATCCAGCATCTTGTATGGAACCTAAGATGTGTGGAATGTAAATACGTGAAACTTTGTATTACGAAAGGGTTAAGCATGCTGTAAACGTAAAACTATGTACTCAAATGCCAAAAGTTGAATTTAAATGGCTTTGTAAAAAGCAAACATTTAGTAAACTAAAGCTTTTCGTCTGACACTCTTCAGAGTTTAAAACTTCAGAACATAGATCGAAAACTCTACGCTAAGAAAAATATATACCCAGTTGTGGATCGAAATAGGCCAATCAGAAACACGAGCGAATTTAGTTTTTAGTTTACATGAAGTAGAAGTCGAATTTAGTTTACATGAAATTTTCGATACAGTTGATGTTTCGTTAGGTGTAATATCTTGTGTTTTTTAATAGCGAAATGCAAACGAAACTGCAAGCACAGAAATCGTCAATTCAGGATTATGTTGACAAGATATCTGCCATGGAAAAGGAAGTAGAGAAAATCACCTCACTTTTTAACAACACGAAGGGCGAGCTGGAGGTCACCTCGAAGAATTTACAAGTGACGACGCAGCAGAGAGATGAGAGACAGCATCTATTAGAGCATCACGTGGATAAAGGCAGCCATCTGTATGGTCAGGCGACAGATTTATTGAGAACTGTAGGTGAAAGTATTTCTGACGTCGAAGGACTGCATTCAAAGCTAGATAGAACAAGCAACGTTCATTCCCATAACGAAAACAGCTGCAGCATGTTCAAATCAGAAATGCATAAAAACATTGCAAGAATGGGATCGGACTTGGAGTTGTGCAGGAAACGGCAGCAAGGATTTCTCTCAGCAATCACTTCAAAGATGGGTGTGTTTTCTCTTAAGTCTCACAATCATTATCTTTTTTCTCTGAAAGTCCTTTTGTGCTCGAATCCTGAAACCATAGCCCCCCCCCTTTAAAAAATACCAATTTATGTCGAAATTGTTGAAGCCAAGTACCATATATGTAATTCTCGATCTTTTTGCTCATATTTATGCGAATGGTTCTTTCTAAGATTTGATAGAGAGGCTTAGAGTCCAAACATCTCTGCATTCCCTTTATTGCCGTGTAAGATATCTTCTGTAGCTTTTGAATTTGGAACCTTTTCTCAGCGAGTTACAATAAAAATGTAGATTGCATCGTCATTGTTTTTGTTGTAATAGGAACCGATATTAGGTTGTTATAGTGTAGATATTCGCTGCCTAAACCAGTACAAAGGAATAAATTGCTAATGTTATACTGACTGTGCCTAAATAGCTTAATCATACGATATTTTGTTAATTCATAACTTGTTTGCGGTCGTAGATGAACTGGCACGCATGCAGTCCTATGCGATGGAAGTGACTAGCAAAATTGTACAAGATCGAGCCTTCGACCTCACACAAAGCCTAGACACTGTCTCTTTGAAGAACAAGGTAAATCAACTGTCAATGGCATTGCAAGGCAGTACAACTTCCAACGGCTAATCTCAGAAAGAACACACAACAATTTGAAATAAGAATAAAACTAGTTTTCTCCTAAAACAAAGCAAGGCTGACTCGTGCTCTTTATCTTGGACTAGCAATTTAGAACTGTCCTGCCATACACACCAAAGCAGGTACATGCGATGCATCTACGCGGCATCGAGCATTTTACAAGTAAAATAAACATAGCAAGCGTTGAACATATCATACCTGACCTTGCCAGGCCCTGTAAATCCTCAAACTAGCCTTCTAGAGGCTTTCTTATCTATAAGAATTTTAGATGAAGGTTGATGAGAGAGTGAGGAGGTTTAACAAGGAGGGCTCGTGAATATTTTCTGAAAGTCGCCATACAAATAAATTGTATTCTAAGCTTTTCAATTTTTCACGTTCACTTTGAGGAACAAAACATTCTGCAAGACGTTGTTAACAACCAAGATGTTTCAGTTATTTCCTTTTTTCATTTTTCGTTTTTCAAAATGGTCTGCCATAGACTACAATCGTGTATTATATTGGCATGTTTCGGTCGGGGGGCTGGACAGTTTTCAGTTCCAAACTGATGTCAACTAATGGGAAGCCTATGCGAGGCTGTTGTCCAATTCGAGGATTTTTACGGCAGTTGTCAAGATTTAACAATTTTTAAAATCCAGTGCATGACAATTTCTTCTCAGCCATTTACGCAGTTTGACAAACCCCCATAAATCCTTTTTTCATAGATTTGCTCTCTCAATGAAAAGAAGTGAATAAAATGCTTTTTTACATTCACAGGAATCCGTTGAAAAGACTGATACTGAAAATGATGTCTTTTGTAAAGAAATGCAGGCTGCTAAGGTAATTATATCTCGAGTAAAACACGTATGCTCCTATAAACTCCTTTTGTTACATTCACGTAGAAGTATTTCTTGACTTGTGTTAATATTCTCAATGGCATATTGATGTTCAATAAACCACATGAAGTATCTTTCAAATTAAAGTTAAATATATTTATGTTTGAAAATTATATTTATGCCGTTTAAGGAAGGGTTGTCAGTTGTTTCTGTTTTGGAAACCAATGATGGCCTACTGAGTACAACCCAAAAAGGTTGTGAATACACATGAATGTGTAGCAAAAACAATTTTTTTCAATTCGATCTTGTGAATCCGCTTATCCGATGGTTATATTTGAAGTTTCTGGTGCAATTTCGCATACCGTAAATTTTCGAACTAATTTTTTGGGTGCTTATTGATTTGAAACATTTTCGATTAGGGGCCATTTTTTGGAAGGGGGCTTGAAAATTGAAACATTCTGAAAACAATACTAGCAATAAAAACAATAAGAAAACATCTTCATTTATTTTTATTATCAATTTCCCTTGAATACTGTATTTACCATGAAACAAAATAACGTATTGCAAAATTTTGGAATTTCAGGGTGGGGCTTGCTCAAGAATAGGGTGGGGGGGTATTAAAAATTTTTACCTTTAGGATTGGAACAATTTCAGGGCAGAGGTTAAGAAGGAAAGGGAGCTTTGCGAAGATTTAGGGCAAGACTCTGTTCGTATTACACGTTTTTAGAAAAATCTTAATTTGGGGTTGAAAAGCAGAGCTATAGTTAAATGAAAAATTTGTTTTTGTAATGTTATAAACCGCAAAAAGCTAGTTAAAGTTGAGATGAGTAATGTAGCAAATCTTCTGGTTACTTGAAATAACATATTTCTAACTCAGAGGCACCGAATATTTCAACCCTGGGCAAAGCAATGTGTATGACTTTTTCTAAAACGTACGTCCAATAGCTTGTCGCAAAGATTTTGTTCAAAAGCTTATCACAATGAGTTACATTCAAAGTAATATTGTTTTTGTGAATCATACAGGATGAATATGTCACAAAGATCAGGGACCACGAAAATGCTTCTTTCTCCCCAAAAATGTTGCTGATTGGCGACAGTGTCAAGTCTATGCACCAAGAAATTCTTGCATTTCATGAAAATATTCGAGGAGAGGTTAGTTTTACTTTGTTACTGAGAGGCAGGAAAGTCTTGGCTGGATGACATGTTGCATCAAAGAATGGTTTAACTAATTTTTTTGACTGAGAGTCGAATAGGTTTAAAAGCCATTTGCTTGCTCAGCTTCCGTGGGGAGAAATTTTCTGTCCTAAATCTCATGATTTTTACTCACGGGTAGCAATTTTAAAACGCTTTTATTTCAATTGGAAGTTATGAAAATTTCGAATGCAATTCAAGCCTATTTTGTTAAGGCCAAGGAAACATTTCATGTCCTTATTTGTGACCGTTTTCGAGATAACAAAATAACAACATGTTGCAAATGGATATGAATCGTTATTCCAGCAAGAGGATGCTTGGAATATCAACGTTGTTTTATACCTACAAGTTAAATATTTTTGTCTGGAATATCTTTTGCTTTAACGTGCATTTGAAAGACCAAAAGAACGATGTTAAAGTCGCTTTTCGACAATCTAGATCTTGCGCCAACAAGAAGAGGAAAAGATGTTTGTGAAGCGACTCGAAGGACGCCTGATGCTTATCAATGGTGCGGTTGACAATCACATGCATGATCAGGTAGCTTTCGTCCTCGTTACTCTGCTCTTTATTCTCTTTTTCTGCCAGTAAGAAGTCCACATTTCAACCACTTTGTATGAAAGACATCAGCTTTTTGATAAAGCTTAAGCTTGTAAAGCTGCTAGAAAGAGCTAGTTCTTTCAAATGGTTGTCCAATCAGAACTACCAACCATATTCTCCCCTCTTTGCTCTTTTATTGGCTGACGTGCATCGATGTTTTTAATTTTTTTGCCTTCCTTTGTTATTGGCAGCTTTTCACAACTCAGCCCAATTCCCGATTCTCTCTACTGTTCGCTTCTTTCTATTCACTAATGATACCAAATGTCAATCTTTCTTTGTAATTTAAGTAGTTTCCATAGTAACCTTACAGTTTTGTTTACATCTACTTGTTTGTTTTTCCGTGTAGATTATTCTGAATAGAATTTTTAGTATGGTCAATACAATCATCCTCAGAGAGAATTTTTGTTTTTCCAGCCTTCTGTACCGAGTAACATTCCGTTAATTAGTCTAACGATTTCATCAGGCTAATTAACTGAATAACCAGTCGCTAATTAGATCAACAGTATCAAGTATTGTTTTTACTTCTATGAAGAATCTAAGACAAGAGTTACTTTTTCTAGTCCCTATGTTTTCAACCTTGAAATAATATTCCGCTTGCTTTCCTAGCAGGATGTCTTTTGACGTTCCTAACCCTTGCTGGTAGCTAAATGCTTTCGACATGGAAGTTTTTAATAAAACCACTGTTTCTAAAGTTTAACGAAAATGTAATTTAGGAAAGCAAAATAAAATCTTCATCTTAGTGACGCTTTGTAATTTAGGTCACTCGAAAGATTGATTAGCTTTTTCAAGCAATCTTTGATGAAACTTGAATGAAATTAAAATGTCTCTTGTTGTAAATTTGTTATTGTTTGAACTAGCATTGAACCGCCAACTGCAAAACAAAATATTTCAATCTCGTATATTAAATATATATTTCTTGTTACTCACTTAGAACTTCATTTGCTTTAGGACCAGTCATTCGAGCGAATCCAACAAACCAACAGGACTTGGGTTGCAGAACGGGAACAGCTGAATCAGGTACAATGTACTTCTATACTGTAAAATTTATGAACTCTCAGTAATTACGAGCCAGGTGACAGATCTTTCATATTTGCATAAATATCGTCAGGAGATTGATTTTCAAAGATAATTTCTGGTTTTTCAGAGGATTTTGTTTCGTGCTCACAGCAGTCGCTGGGACGTGGCAGCTGTCTCAATTCTAAACTCTGTTTTGTTTTAATTTATTCATTACAGAACATGGAAAACTAGCTTCAAGGGTAGAATCCTGATGCTCGTTTGGAATATAATTTTTTGAAAGTTTTTCTTAAGTGTTGGTTTACACGACTCAAAAGACTTTGATTTCTGCGTTCTTTCTTCTCGTTAATTCCAACAGAGTGTGTCCTTGCTGTTTTGATGCTTTCTCGTGTCAATAAAGAATGTGATATTTGTTACCTCCTTGTGTAGAGTTACCTCATTCCCGTGACACCATCTCTGCTTTTTGTTCCTGCTGCTGTCTTGACACAAAAGACATTGCAATCGAAGACAGGGGCGGACACTTGGTCAAATATTGGGGGCAGCCTATTGTTTTAATATGACGCCACATTTTCCTATTGTTTTAGAACAAAAGACTATTGTCCTCCAAGATATTGAAAGGTGCCCGCCACTGGTTGAAAACTGGAAATTTAGCAATATTGATTCGCTTTTTCAGCCGTTCCCGTTCTTTTGAAATCATTGTGATCATTTTTTAGGAATTGCTACAAGGTTTCATGTCAGAAGTGACGGATGTCTTGTCGTCTAAACTACAAAATTTATTCTGTAAACAAACCGAACAAGCCAAGAAAGGCCTAAATGTGGTACGTTTTTTGACATTTCGATTCAATAACATAAGGCAAGTTGCCTTTGCGCATGCAGTTGGCATCTGCGTAGTAACAATTAACAGTCACCATTTCATTTTTGAGCTAACACAAAGGAAAGGTCATTTCCTGAAAAGGATATTCAATTTGGAAGAGCTGAATGTTATTTCAAACCTTCAACGCTTTGAAAAGTTAAACGGAGCTCAAAAAATCTTTTCCCACCTATTTAAAGACATTCCACTATCCAAGTTCTAGGGCATAACATCGTTAAAGCGTTCTTTTTTAATTTGTTGAAATATCGTTGTTTATCTTGCACTGAGGGCTATCTATACGTTAACTTGTACTAATTTCATTCAAGATTGAGGAGGAAGTTGTTAGTCTCCAGAAACACGAACAAGCGCTACAGCAGAATGTCTCCAGGTAAGTAGGCAAGCAACCTCAAATAAAGCTTTTTATGGGCGAAAACAGTTTTCCATCACACAAACAACACCCGAGATACATCGTGTGATTTTAATGTTGCGTTACTCGCATTAATAATAAAAAGTCAGGTGATACATCTGGTGTTTTAGAGAGGTCAAGAGATGCATATCAACCTACACAAAAATAGAATTTAAAAATCAAGCTTTCTTTCTTCGACATAAGAATATAATGTACTTTCTAGAGAAACAAACCTTTATCCTTTCGGTTATCAGTAGATATCCTCGTTGTCTGAATTTTTCACAAATCTGTGTTTTCTCTTTCCAGTCAAGTAGCGTCAATACTGAGCAATGCTAATTCTTTTGGATCGACCACTGATTTGTGGTTTTCACAAAGACTGGTCGATTTTGAAGCATCAGACACAATGGTCAGTAAATTTTACTCGCTGTAATGTAATCTCCCGTGTTAAGTTCTCTCTTGCTTTGAATTTATTGGTAAGATTATCAAATACTTGTAATCTCCGAAGTTCAATTAAGAGTGCTCAACCTGATCACACCAACTCCAGGAAAGAAAGCAGAGATTTTACACCCTAAACCCTAAAGATTCCCCCAACCCTAAAAGATCGCCCAAGCCAAAGAAAATCGCCCAAACTTATTTTACGTTCTTCTCAATTTTTCTAACCACTTTCTATTAGTTATGGTTTCAGCATTCATTTCAGAGCTTTGCTTGTTAATTTAATTCCTTTATACCGTAAAAAGGACAGATAAATTCTTTGTTAAATTCATCAAACCACTGCAGAATGTTTCTAACGAGAACTGAGAGAATCATTTAAGCTGATTTTCCTTCGTTTTAGGTCAAAGACCACTGCGACAGCGTCAGTGCTCAAGCGCAAGTTGTGTCGAATGCCGAAGAAGCATTCTTAAACGAAATTTGCCAGGTATTTTCTAATAGAGTTACCGAGTTACCAAATTTACTGTACCGAGGTTATTCTTAGGAATTCCTAAGGAGCAGTTGGAACCATTGATTTACCTTTCAGTGTATAGCTCAATTCCTCGAATTAGCCCCCTGGGGGCTTATTTATTTTTGATATTTTTGGATGGGGGCTTATTCGAGGGGAGGCTTATAAAATTATTGTAGACATTAAGAAGACATCATTAAAAGACCTCGTTTATTCTAGTAGGAATTTCTTTATGAGCATTTAATTAATTACTACCAGAAGTATGAATTTGTTGTGGTAATTCAATAAAACGCCATAGGCAACCTCAGGTGGCAAAAATCATCAAATGGAGGGGTCCATTTCGAGAATTTTCAGTAACAGTGGGGGCTTATTCGAGGGGGGCTTATTGACAACTTGTAGTTCTAGGGTGGGGGCTTATTCGAGAGGGGGGCCAATTCGAGGATTTACGGTATCGGTCTGAGTTTGTTAAACAGTAACGAGCAACCTCTGGTTTCAGAACTTGGAGTCAAACCAAGACAAGTTAAACAATTTTGCCGAGGATGGCCTTGAAAAACGTCATTCTGATCTCGAAGATATGTTGGAGTGTACTGCAGTAAGTCTTTTTTTTACTTTTAAACAGCTGCAATTTTATTGCTCTTATATCTTTGTTTGGTCATGCTTGAGTTTCAAAAGTTATGTGATTCGACTGGAGAATCATTTGTTGATAGTGCATCTAAAGTTTTATTGCGAAAATTTATTTAATGCTCTTACTAAATGTTGACCACAACATATATAGCAGAACACCTGCCAGTTTTGCCAGTGTCAGCTTTCATGAATAAAGCAAAAGTTAGAGCATGTTCCGTAATTTAAAATGATCGAGACCGTTGCAGAGAAGATAAATTGCTTGCATTTAGTCTACTTGTTAATCTCTTTAAAAGTTTGATTCATCTAAATGTCACAATTCTTTAAAGCATTATCATTTATGATTTATAAATGAAAAATATCTTTATTATGTGATATGAATTGATCTTTTTATGATATTTCTTATGATTTGATGACATTACATTTCGAAAGGCATCCGAGATGTATCGCTAAATCCAGATTCACTGAAAAAGTACCAATCTTTGCTAACTTCTGTCATTGCTTTAAGGCAATAATGCATCAAGAGAATGACTTTGCTGGAAGAATTCAAGAGAAAAGTGATACAGATATTGCTGCTCTTAACGAGGCCAGAGATGACATCAATCTATGCGTGGAGGAAGAGTTCAAGGAGACATCAGCGTGGACCGATCAATTGACAAGTCGAAATGAGAGTTTACAAGAAGATATTGATCAGTTCCTGGATAAAAGATTACAGCGTGTGGTTCCTACAGGTAAATAATTTTTAACAAGTACAAAAAGCAGCTCCTGTAGAAAACAGACACCTTCAAAAACAGCTTACTCGAAATTTGAGAATACTCCACGGCCGAAGAACGACCATACTTAAATGAAATATGAAGAGTTTCAGGACCTTTTTTCAGAAAACTTTTCTCAGTTCACTCTTCTCGTCAGTAATGCGCAGACAAGCGAGGAATCTGTTATGGTTGTTGTTAAGCTCTGTCGAATTTCAGTAAAGCCATATTATTCACCGAATTTTCATAAATATTTCTTGTCTCGCGAAACAGTCTCGAATATCTTGTTCTTAGTACCTGTTGTGGACCTGTTGCTCTCAAGGCGTAGGAACAATGCAGTTTTCAAATGACCCATTTTTTTAGCCAAAAAAGCATTCACAGTAGAGATTTAAATGCTCTTTTGCTAGTGAGATGAGAGGATTGCTTAGTTGTACAAAGACATGACGTTGTTCTAATTTGCTTCAATTTTTGTAAGTAAGTTGTTAAGTACGCCTCTTTCCAGCTTGAAAAGATCTTTGCTTTTTCTGTTCTATTACAGTATATTTTCATTTTTATATTTTGCAGTTTATCTTTCAATTAAAATTTGAGTAGTCCAAACTGCTAAAACATTATATTGAATTTCAGGTGAAACTCCTCAGAGGAGAAAATTTGAATATCCAGCTGATCTAGCTAAAACAGAGCCTCACGAGCTTCTTATTGCCAAGTTTAGACAGGAAAATGACCTCCCTTCGATAGACTTTGACGAAACAGAGGTGAGTTTTTGGTAGATCATAAATTGAGAAATGATTGTGTTTGTATCATTGGTTTGCTGTTTTGTAGCATGTCGACGCTTTTTGGGCCGTTGTTTTCAGTGGCGGACACCTGGGGAAGCGAGGGGGGGGGTTAACCCAATTCTTTAGAGGACAATGGTATTTTGTTCTTGAGCAATGGGAAATGTGACGTCATCTTGTTAAAACAATAGGCTTGCCCCCCTCTCCAATATTTGACCAAGTGTCCACCCCTGGTTTTTTTTTTTCTCTGGCCAATCCTGAGCTCAGAGTCACTCCCAAAAAGACCTTTGTGTATATTGTAAGATCTTTAAGTAAAAGGTCTTCCTTTACTAGCGATATGGAAGTAAAAGCGATATATTTCTACCACGTTTTTTCTTCTTTCAGGAAAACGAAATCGAAACACCTTGTGTTGACAGTCCTTCTGAAGACAAAGAAAATAATGTTGCAAATGTTCAAAGAACAGTGAGTACCCTTTCTATCAACATCCTTTTCTCCTTTAACATATCCTTCCACTATTAATGTTAGTTATACTTTGGTTCAATAATAGGTAAAACTATTTCTTTCCTTTAACATTTTGTTGTCTTAAATTTACATCTTATTGATATCCATTAAATTTTCTTTCAGATGATCAATTCTGAAAAATCTGGCAAAGAGAACTCTTCTCCTGCAATAAAAGCTAAAAACTTTAGTGACAGCCCAAGTGGGAGGAGCAAGTTGCCGCTTAGAACTGCAATTGTCAATTGAAAATCTTAAATCCCTTTTTCTGTTGGAATGTTTCCTATATCATTTTGGTCAGCATCTGAATGTATAAAAGAATGATCCGAAAAATTGCAGAGAGACATTCACAAAGATGCAAATTTAAATTATCTTTGAAGACACTTATGTTTGTATTCTAATTTCATTTTATTTAGAACATATCGCTAATTGGCGTACAATTACGAATGTATATACACTGATATCCACCAACAACCAGTTGTTATCTCTATTTTGGTCGTATGTGTTTGCAGCCCCTCCTTGATTTTCTCTACAATATCATATTTTTATTAGCATGGGCCGCGTTTGCATTGAACCCAACTATTGAAAATATTATTTTGCTGTCACTGGCCTAACTTCGCTATACAGTTGCATTGATAAATTGTTTTTACTTGCTCACTTTTAATCTTTCTGTTTGTATATAAAGTCAAGTTGTATGAATCAATTTAAAGTCTGTTCTTGTATTTTCTCGCATTAATCTCTAAATTTTCATCTTGCACCATTATTATCGACAATAATGCATATAAAACTAGGGTTACGCTTGGTTTTGCGACAGAATTAACGATTATCCTGGTGTTGGTTGCACTCGATTTAGGAAAATGCGAATCAGGCAGATTGACCATTGAAGCAGTAGGCCTTTTGCTAAATTTTTCATTGACACTTTTTTCAGCTGTTGAGTTTGATATGCTTCCGTAAATGTCTCATTTGGACATTTTTTTAGAATTGGGCACCAAAGCTTCTCAAGTGTTAATGCAACAAAAATTAACAATTCTCACAGTAACAGCTCAATATAAGAAACAGCTCACAAGAAAATTTTTTCTTGGAAGTTTAGAAATGGAGATAAACAAATCGAATTGCTATTTTTACAGATACCTAGATAATCAAACATATCCCTAAACGTGTTTATTCTAAAGGGTCAGTCTGGGTAATCTCAATTTTACCTGTATGAAATTTTGCAGTGAATGCCGTTCAGTAGTTGAGGTACCGCGTTTCTGAACAAATCTTGGTGAATCCGTCGCGCCAATCTACTGTCAAGAAAAACAAAAATGTTTTGCTATGCAAATATCGCTCCTTTTTAATTCTTGTACCCAAAAATGACTGATTCTTTGAGTTTTTAGATAAATTTTTTTATCATTTTGTACTGAAAGCTGCACGAAGGCGCTGAGAAAATTGATCACTTGTAGGTAGTTTAAAGCTGTCCTAAGTTTTAAGCTTTAGTATTTTAGTTATATCTAACTAATGCCACTACATTTTTTAGAGTTCATGCTCTCAAGCAAATAATTTTTGCTCCTTCCTTTGAAAATCTGACTAGGTACGTGAATGCACTTTTATTTAGCAACCACACTAGGGTCGCAAAAGTACACTACCAGGACAAAAGTATTGCAATACCTGTGAAGGCGATTAATGGCGGATCACGCAATAACTTTTGTTGTTGTCTGATTAAGCTATTGTTTAATCGGCCAATTCGAATATTATAATTGTAATTCTGATATTTAGGTTAATATTGTAATTCTGAGTATTTCGAAATCCTCGATAAATTTCAAAGATTTAGCATGATTATTTTCTCTGTAAGGGAATATTTCAGCATAAAGTTATTAGTTTACAGAACTTCAATTTTGTTGAATGCCATTTTCGTTTGGGTGTTGCAATACTTTAGTCCTGGTAGTGTACATAGTGTATTTGAAAACTGGCTTCTGAACTGCTACGACGTGATTAAACTTGCAATAAAACTGAATTGTCAGAGTACGCTTTATCCTCGACTGAGATATTCTTAAGGGCGATCTTGCGGCATGAAACACCTGCTAAGGTACGTTTTTTAAACCTGCAAATTTGCAGAACAGATGGGATAGTTTCCTTTGTCAACGCAGCCGCCATCATTTGTGGATATCAATGATTTCCTTGGAAACGTAAACAATAGTCACTAAACAAACCACAAGGACACAGCAACCATACTCATGATAAACGAAGATGGCGGACAGTTTCGTCTCTCCGAAAAATCCAATTTCTGCCTCATTAACAACAGAAGACCTTATTCATCCACACAAAGCTAGTGAGATACCACGGTATGTTATTTTACTTATCAATTTGGCATTGTTGCACTTAACTTTGATTGAATCCCCAGAAAATTGCCACGAAAGCTTCCGCTCGTCAATTCCATTGTTCACATGTTGAGCCATAGCAAATGAACATATTACAGACAGTGTATAAAGCTCCTGCAACTTATTTTTTACATTGATAAAGCAATACCTTTAAGATTAAAGTGTGGAATTAACTCACAAACAAAGACAAGTAAGTGAATAATTGTTGTGCCGGGCGGGAATTTGCCTGAATACTTTTCTGTTTTCAAACTCAATCTGAATACTTTTCTGTTTATCGTTGCCAAGACGCCGCCACAGTACGCATTTTAAAAACTAGTTTTTAATTCTTTTGCTAGTTTTAAATGACTTAAGTTATGATTTCAGCTTAAAATGATGTTTTCAAAGCATTAAAACAGCAATCTCTTTCGTTTTCATTTAATTTTGGGTTAGGGTGGCGTTCCAGCAAGGTGATGGATAAAAAGTTGCCATGATAAGTAGAATCGAAATATAATTAAGTGGAATGATCGTACGTATTGAAATGTTCTTCATTTTTTCATAGCAGCTCCAAGAATGAATAAAAATTTTGCTTTGAAAACATAAAATTTGGGAAACCCATAAGAAAATTTTGACAGCACAATTGTGAAGGATTTCAAGACACTCTAAGTTGAATCATATAGAAACTGCAGCTCTTCAGTATTCATAACTGATAAGTATTTGGTAGTGAAATTCAGAATTTTGTAAACTTTTTGATAAATAATGCACACTAAAATGTGCACTTTTCCCGTTGTTTTTATCTCAGAATTACAGGATAGAGCTTTTGTGAAGATGAGTCTTTCCTAAATGCAATTTAAGCAAGCTTTACTACTGAAACAAGAATATGATATGACTGATACCCTTGTATCAACCTTACCACTGCATTGCTGCATAGAATATGATATGACTGATACCCTTGTATCAACCTTACCACTGCACTGCTGCATAGAATATGATATGACTGATACCCTTGTATCAACCTTACCACTGCACTGCTGCATAGAATATGATATGACTGATACCCTTGTATCAACCTTACCACTGCACTGCTGCATAGAATATGATATGACTGATACCCTTGTATCAACCTTACCACTGCA